TGACTTTAACTTCACCAGACTGTAGGGAAGTTCAAACTGATATAGAAAGACGATGTTCTGTGAACCTGCCAGGTAAAGAAGGTTGAGGCTTTAGAGATAATATAATCTCATACCAGTTGTGTGACATGAGGAAATCATATAACCACTATGAACTTCAGCCTCCACAACAAAGCAACTGGGTTCATAATCTAGATATAGGACTGTTAGAATGAATTGGACCAGTAAGATGGCTCATGGGGTAAAGGTGTTGACCACCACATCTGATGACCTGAGTTTGATTCCCTTCATTCACGTGATGGAATGAAAGAACTGGTTCCTGAAAGTCCTTGACCTCCATATGCATGCTGTGGCATGACTTCATTGCCCAATAAATAAATAAGTAAATAAATAAAAATTTAAAAAATAATCACATGAATTAAAAATCCATAAGCATCTATAATACAGTATAGTATCTAAAATGTTATAATAACGTAATGCCTAGAGCTTCTCTGTTAGCTACATAATTTTCAGATTGCAGTACAAAATAAAAATGCACTTTATTTTAGTCAAAAATTATTAGCAATTTAAGGTGGGGATGTACAACATTAAATCAAGCTCAGAGCTACGCTCAGTACAGGTCCCTGGGTGAAGCCGTAGGTCACATACATCTGAAACATGCTGGAGCATGCTGGGTGCTAACGTATATTGGTTTCTTCTCTGCCACCTATCTCAGACTGTGCCCTGTTCAACACAAATAAATGGCATTTGGGGATTTTTTTAAAAAAAGAAAAATTACAATTATTATTCCAGAGACAGCTTCATTTCTCCTTCCTTGAGCAGCAGAGAGTCACCCATCCTGATAGACACCAGATAAAGGGAGAGCGAAATCAACTCTCTGACTTCAGGCAGGCGCTGTAGCTAGAGTGCCGGTTTATGGGATCAGGAAGGTATTTGAGAAAGGGAAACGTGACCAGGAGTGCTTGCCACACCTGACAGGGAAATCGGAGCAGATTCTTGAGTGCACCATGGTCCTTTTCATAAAGCTTTAGTGGCTCCCCTCCCAGTGCCTTCAAGAGAATGCCATTACCCCCACCTCCCAGAGCTTATTCAATGCTTTCCAAAGTCTGATTTTCCATCTATCTTCCCATTTTATACTGTGGTGCTTCAATTGGTCTATTTTCTCACTGACTCCAGATTTTAATGTACCTTTCCACATCTATCCCTCTAGCCACAAACCTTCTTCCTCTTAGAGTGCCTTTTTCTTACTTTTCTAATACAGTTTTTTTTTCTGAGAACTGAATTATATTACATCTCTTGGAGGAAATAAGGCAGAATAGTCTCCATGAAATGAAGACTATACCAGTCAGCATTTGCTGCAATAACAAGCAGCCCCCCCAATCTTGATGCATTATAATACAACTATTCCTATCTTGGAACATAATTAGCCACTTGATGACTGTGAGTCAATTCTATGTGTCTCTTCCTTGGTTCTGCTTAGTTTTGTTCCATGTGTTTTCTCATTCTGGGACCCAAGGTGATAAACAAAAATTGTCTTTTTTTCCCACCAACATAATATTTTTATTAGTTACTTGGAAATGTCATACGATGACCCTGATCACACTTGCTTCTTATTCCCCTCAGCTCCATCATCCCATCCATGCACCCTATTCCTCCCTCCAAAAGAAAATACTAAGTCCAATTTGTTTCTCCATATACTTACTGGAGCATGGTCAAGTTCCCAGTGACCATCCCTTTAAAGAAAACTGAGTCCTTCCTCTCCCCACCCCCTCCAGAAGGCATTGACTGTGAAGACCTACACTTCAGCATCCTTATAACAATTTTTAAGGACTCTCATCAATAGTTTCCTATCTGGAGTGTTTATTTTTTAGAGGGAGGGTCTGGCATAGAAGCCTTCAATGTCCTCAGCTTCAGATATGACACAGCAGTCACTGATACTAAGAAGCTTCCTTGTCTATAGTATTCAGTGGCAGCACAGATTATGGACTTTTACACAGTCTTTGTAGGATGTATTTCTGGCAGCAGCACAGGCCATAGACACCAACATGGTTTCTGGTGGCATCAAGTATCATAGAAGTCTTTCAAAGAGATCTAATCCAGAAAACAAACCATTCTTCATCTCAGATATTTTATTGTTGCTCGGAGTCAGGGTGATGAGCTGTTGGACAGGACCTGCCCTGCCAGTATGCCTGCCATGGCCATCATCTTCCCGTCTGTGGACAGCATCACATCTGTTCTCCTCCTCCCAACAGAGCAAGCAGTGCAAGGAGCAGCAGCTCCATGTCACAGGCCAGTCCTGCTGGCCAAGCGTCTATGCTAGCCTAATATGCAAGAATGGTTGACACAGTCTGGTGGTGGCCTCATCCTCCCAGTAGCCTGAGGTCTGGTCCTATTCACTAAAACGTGTTGCCATTCCTGTTATTGCTGCCATGTCTCTAGTTCTGCTCCCCTCCACCATGCATGTTGCTGCATCCTGCCATCTTCTTTTCCTTCAAGACATGCTGTTTTCAAGGAAGACAAAATAAACTCTCAAAAGTCAAACCACCAAAGTCTTCAATACCTCTCTCTGCTCAATCAACAGATCACATTCCCTGGCATATAACTACCAATCCCAGAGTCACTGAGGTAGGGAAAGAAGGCAGTGTACTACTGTGAAAAACACACGCAGACTTACAGTCAAATATTTTGTTCTGAATCCAATTTATTCTATACTTATCCATTGAATAAGAACAAATTACATGTTTCCATCTTCCACAGCTCCATTACATTGTCTGCAAATGCAAAGAAATAATACTTGCCTTAAAGTTTCTTATTGAGGATTAATGGGGATGTGCCTTACATAGTCCCTGGCATGTAGAAAGTATTCATAAGAAGTATTTATCATCAATGGCATTTTTAAAATTTACCATGAGCAGTCATTTTACTTCATTTCATTGGTCCATTTACTCATTCACTCAATGAACATTTTCTTTGTGTTCTGTAATACCTACCTAACTTCCTATCACATAGCCTTAGTCCAGAATCATTTAGCTCCTGTAATTAAATCCCATGGCTCCCAGATCTAAGGTAGTCCACCATCATGAGTCACCTCACAAATGTACACAATACCACAATCATAAGAAAGTCTTAGAGACTTTTTTCCTCTTGGCTTGGTTCCATTTCAATCAGTGGGATCTACAGTCAGTCCAGTAAGGGAACATAGGCACATAAAACTTTAATTAGTTTCATGAAGTTAAAATTGCTTTCATGAGAGGAAAGAATAAGGTGGGGGAGGATAAGACTAAAACCAAAGCAAGAAGATTGTGAAGGTTGTGGGGAGAAGAGCCTCCTTGAAGGTAAAATGAATTGTCTGCTTTTGGCTGGAAATTCTGCAAATGATTTTTGGCCCTGCCACGGAAATGTCTTTGTAAATTAGTTGGCTTTTCAAGTGAATAAGAACAATGGGGAACCATGAGCTAGGTGATGATTTGGGTTTCCAGGTCAAAGAAGAGAGCTGATAGCTTCCGTGTGTGTGTGTGTGTGTGTGTGTGTGTGTGTGTGTGTGTGTGTACTTTCCCACAGTTTTCTCCAGTATGATGCTAAAAATTTTGATCTAACAACAGCAAAAAAAATCTTACAAATTACATCCATGCTGTTACTGTCTGTGTGAAGTTGGACAAGAGCCCTAATTCTCTGAGCTTTGCTTTCCTCCTTGGATGAACAAGGACAGCAAGATTGTCCTCAGAAGTCTGCAGGAAGATGACCTGCAATCTGTGTGGTGACACTTAGGATGTGTCAGTCCTTAAAATGTCACACAAAACATTCTGTATAATGTATGTATGAGTCAAGGGCATCCGCAGCAACAAAACCAATTAGGTATAGAGATTGATCATAAAGATTGACTCATGCAAACTAACAAGGTTCATGATCAGCAGTTAGCAATCCAGAAACACAGGGTAACTAATTATGTCACTCCAGGCTAAAGGCCATGAGAACTCAAAACCCATGTTTTAGCTTGAGTCCAAAAACAAGACAAACTGATGTAATAGCTCAAGGCAAATGCTAGGAAAATATTCCTTCTTACAGAGTAGAAGAACAGTCTTCAGTTTTATATGGGGATTTTATTTGGTTGAATGAAGCCTAGCCACATTAGGAAAGAAAAATATGTTTTACTCAGTCGATTGATTTAAATATTAACATCATGAACTAATATAATAAATCCAGAAACTTTCAGAATAATGTTCAGTCAAATATATACCTTTCGGACTAGGCAACTTGTTGCATCAAAGTATCTATTACAGCTCCTGAGATTCAGTCAACAGGAAAGAACTCGATACAGAGCCAGCAGTGCCCATCCATTGTTTCAAAAAAGAACAATATGCAGTTTGACATGATATGAATATGGGTATGAAAAGAAAAGAAGATGAAAAAACTTGGATCAAAAAAAAAAAGTTTTAGCTAAATAAGGCAGGCCATGTTTCTTACATAAGGTCCATGCCTCTAACTTGCACTAAGACAGTCTCAGAACACATAAGTATAAATAAAGGCACAAGAACCAAGAGAGGCTAGTTTCAACAAACACAGTCAGTTCCTAAGCCATGACATCATAGGATCACCAAACAGGTTTGAGGGAAGTTGAATTCTCAGTGGCAAATAGTAGTTTATTATTAATTCCCTTACTTTGCTCTAAAAGGTATGTCTTATTAATTTTGTATTATGCTTACTTAGTTTTGATATTTGCTCATGAATAGTTTATCTTTTGTTCATAAAGTTGAGGAATTTAGAGTTTTTAGTTCCCTTGATTCTAAATCAAAGAAGACTCTGAGCATTACCTGTCAATTACACAATAATGTTTGTGCCTGAGGGGATCTGACACTTCCTTGTCCTCAAGGGAAAATACTACACAACAGGGAAAATTCTGGAAGAAATCTGTATTGCAGAAATACACGGCCCATGATGGTCCTTAATAAATGTTGGTTGCTCTTCCTCAGGACCGAGCCTCTTGATCCTCCTGCGTTGCCAAAATGTCGCTTTCTAACAAGCTGACTTTGGACAAACTGTACGTGAAGGGAAAGCGGGTCATGATGAGGGTGGACTTCAATGTTCCTATGAAGAACAACCAGATAACAAATAACCAAAGGATCAAGGCTGCTGTCCCAAGCATCAAATTCTGCTTGGACAATGGAGCCAAGTCAGTTGTCCTTATGAGCCACTTGGGCCGACCTGATGGTGTTCCCATGCCTGACAAGTACTCCCTAGAGCCAGTTGCGGCAGAACTCAAGTCTCTGCTGGGCAAGGATGTTCTCTTCTTAAAGGATTGTGTGGGCCCAGAAGTTGAGAATGCCTGTGCCAACCCA